TAAGACAAAAGGTTTTTATTCAAAAAACGCCAAGTATAAAAAAAAATAAGATCTCTTTTATTCCCCTGTACAGTATTTCACTCAGATAAAACCAGCAGGCTACATGCTGCTCAAAACACAGCCCCAGAGAGGATCCGGAAGGCACACCATCCAGAACTGCTTTTCATATATCTATCCTATATACACAAGCCAGCAACGCCCCTCCCCCATCACCCATGGAACCCATACCCACTTGGGTAATCAGCAGGCGAGGGGGCCCACAGCAGTCAGGGAGCTGCAGCAGCTGTCCTGCCTGAGTCCCGTCACCCTACAAACGAGCAGGCGTTGCAGTCCTCCCCAAAGGTCCCCAAGTCAGAGGAGGAAAGGAGAAAAGAAAACTATGGCAGCAGCCGTGGAAGCTTCGAGCAGGAAGGGAACCAAATAAATAAATAAATAAATAAATACATAAGGTTGACCTCCAGGTTAGAATGCGCATCTTTCCCCCCAAAAAGAGAAAAAAACAGGTAAAATAACTTAAAGGCAAAATTAAAAAAGAATTAGATCAACTACAATCCTTTTGTACACTATCATGCCAACTGTACACACATTTACAGTTTTTCTGTTGGTTTGCATTGTTTGTGCATTTCTGTGTGTGTGTGAGGTCTTGGCTTAGAAACAGTAAAAACCAAAAAGGAAGACCAGTTCACTTGGGAGTTTTACTAAAGGAAGTGGAAAAAGGGCAGGTGGCTCAGCATTTGGCCCTGTAGCCTCTTCCATGGCACCTTTCATATGAAGGATTTGGGGGAGGATGGGGAAGAAAGGGGGAACCAAACCCAGGCAGATTTTTGGAGAAGCAGCAGGTAAAAGAGGCAAGTTCAAGTATTTCTCCCAGCACAGCCGGAGTCCCCACAGAAGGCACTCAGAAGAGTCGGAAGAGGTGACAGGGACTTAATATGGTGCTAGTCCTATTCCACCCCAATCCATCTTCCCCCTGCCCGACCCATCGCGGCATTCAGCAGAACTCTTGATGAAGGGAACAGTTCCATGGCAGGATTCTGACCCACTCCCACCCCACCCCCCACCCCAGGGATTTTGCAGAGTCCAGCAATGCCAGACACCTACGAGGAGAGCATCTATGGGAGGAGTTGAGGCCTAGGATGCCTGGAGTAGAGTCTCTTCCTCCCATTGGGAGGCAGCCTCCAGGGGCCTGGGGTCTGGAATGAGTTGTAAATGTTGTTCCTGTATCAAGCACTGTCCTGCTTGGAGAGAACTGTCACTGGTATTTGGGAAGCTGGAAACAGACACTTTCCCTCCCTTAAGCATCTGATAGAGAGGGGAGAACTTGCTGGAAAAGCTATTTGCTGGGCCCTGGCGACAGGCTGTGGAGATGGATCTCAGCAGTTTCCTGGGGCAGGAGAACATCTTGCATCCATGGATGGTTCTGGATTTCTTTGAAGGATGGCCGATCTGAAGGTCTCAGGGCCAAGCACCATCTAATGAGATGCTGACACTCTGAAGAGACCCTCTGCCTGAAGAAAACTTGGCCCCTGATGATCTCCTCATTGTGCTCAAAAGGAATATCTCCACAGACCATATCGTACAGCAGGATCCCCAGAGACCAGACAGCTGCCGACCATGGTAGCGATGGTAGCGGATCCAGTCTGGAGGACTATACACTCGGGTTCCATCGAAGTCCGTGTACACTGTGTCCTTGAGCAGCGCCCCCGACCCGAAGTCAATGAGCTTGAGCTCGCCGCGATTGAGGTCGATGAGGATGTTCTCGTCCTTGATGTCGCGGTGGAGCACCCCGCAGTTGTGGCAGTGCCGCACGGCCTCCAGCACCTGCCAGAAGAAGCTGCGGGCCAGCTCCTCCTGCAGGGCCCCCCTTTCCGTGATAAAGTCGAAGAGGTCTTGCACCGGCTCTGGTCTCTCCAGGATCAGGACGAAACTGTCGGGCCTCTCGAACCAGTCCAGGAGCCTAATGACGCCGGAGAAGCCCGAGCTCACCTTCTTCAGCAGAACCACTTCCATGGGCACTCGGGTGCCATTGGGC